AGCAGGCAACTTGCCATCTATGATATATGCAAAGGCGATATGTTTCGCGGGAGGATTCACCCTCCCGGGAGATCAGACCAGTCATGTCTGCTCGTCTGAACCATCCCACAGAGGCAATGTGACATGTTTGAGTTGGTCTACGCAGCCTCATAAAGTGAAGTGACTAAAGGCAGTGGGCACGGTGGCTGGCAGCAGTTACTCCCATCCCCGCCATCGTGCCAACTGCCTTCAAGGTCGCCACCGTTCTCCGAATTGCGGTGGAGGAGGCGTTGGTGCCACGTGCGCGGCATTCGCACCAGAGCTCGATTAATGGGGTGTGGCGATGCTTTTTCAAATCAGGGTTTAGTGCTCGGTGCCGCGACTCGGATTCTGAACTGCACCCGCGGTCACTGAAAGGACAGACGCAGACGCGGATACTTGCAGGGCTTAGAAAAAGGGTAGCTGTGACGATAGCGCTGAGTGCGTTGACGGCGCTACGTGGCACAGGTCTGGTGATTACTAGCGCGCGAAGAAGCCGCGCCTGCGCGCCGTAGCTTGGCCGTATCATAGAGGGAGGAGGGCCCTGCGACAACTGCGCGATCTGGCTGGTAACCATGAAACTTACTCGATCAATATGTCGGTACGCATGCCTGCCTATGACCCTCCCCCCCACACCTCCTGCACCACCACCCCACTCCCTCCACTCCCTTCAAATGCCTCGCGTGTATGTGATAAGGAAAGCGATAGAACGCGATGTTATCACTGTGATAACCCTCTGCTCTTCTACATCAGTTACATTTTCAGCTGTTCCATATGATTGTGTGGTCGCAATGAGGTAGAGGGAGATAAGGGCGCAGTACATGCGCAACGAAAGGGAAACGCGCCGAGAGGTGTGCGAAATGGGGAGCGAAGGGCAGGATCCGGCTCTCGATGAAATCACAACAGATGAGCTTCACAGTCCCGTCTGTACATGCGAGTCAGGTTTGATTTTGCGGCATTATCACCGAGCCCTCAGTGATTTGATGCTTGATGCATAATCATCCACATCGATCCAACTCAACTGGCCATGAAACACGCACGCGAGCTGGCTTCTGCGTGTAGCCGCAACTCACACCTTATGGACCGTAGGGAGACAAGGGATTCTAACGCGAGTTAACAAGGTAGCACCGTGAAACGGCGCAGTTCAGCGACGGGGGGACATTTTGCACTTCGACTGTCTTCACTACTTTCCGGTTTACAAGTCTCACTCTGGTGAAACTTGTGAACTCTTGTGAAGCTGGAGTAAGCTCGTCTGGCCACAGTGGTAAAACGTGTCAACGCAGGTAAAGGCTGTCTGAATGGGTTGGCATATCGATGGGAAGCAAAATGCCCCCCCCCCGTCGCCGAGCTGCGCCCGCGACACCGCTCACATGCGGCGAGCCGCGCGCAATGTCAGAGTTACTCCACCGTATCCACCCAAACTGTCGGTAGAGCAAAGACTTGTTCTTGTTCACGGCGCGCTATTCGGAGTCGCAATAAGAGGGTCCCTTTCATAATTTGCACAAATGGTGAGACATTACAACTGGTTCGCAAAGGCAGCGGCGACGTAGGCGACCCAGGACAACCCTTCCTGAGCTATGATTAGAAAACCAAAAAAATTCCTTACGTCCTCTACGGAAACGGTAGCGTACTTTGACTTGTCCTGCTGCAAATACACGAATTAGTTGAAGCCAATTGTTGGCGTTGAGCCATGCGGACCTTTTTTTGTCGCAAAGTGCCCTCTTCTGTCAATGTCATCGTACTTGACTCATCTCGTTTCGCATCTCGAACAGTTCGTTTACGATCATGTTTTGCCGTCTGACGTTTAGTTTTGTTCTGAAAAACAGTCAGAAGGCATCTGTCGTCTGTAACCGTAAGAAGCAAGAAGCACATAACGACACAAGCTAGCACCCGACGATCCACTTACCCGTCCCATGAAAAACCGTCTGTGAAGTACCAAGTATACGAATGCAACCCACTGCCTCATTTCCCCTGATATTTTCCTCGATGCTGTGATATCACTGGTCTGAGCTGCTATCATTCACAAGCCCTTTACCCCCTCCCCCACCCCCAGAACACCACGCGGTCAGCGCTGGTATTCTAGAGCGGCGTTTATAGTTCGCGACACTGGCGACTACGCATCATTGATTATATGCGCGAGATAAGCACGCACGGGGTCACATTGACGCCTACGTAGCGAACTATAAACGTTACCAGCGATTTCAAGTGCACTATACTTCCGTGCTACACATTTTGCACAGACAGGGAGCAACCTAGTCTGATACTAAGGCAGTCAAAAGTTGGTTATTTTTGGAATGACGATGGATTCCTCCCACAGATTCGACCTTGACGGCATGTTCCATGATAGCGGGATGTATGTAGAATATGTGGCTCATATGTAGCTGGGCATTCTGCGCAGCTCTTTTCATTGCAGTTGATTCCGAGCAAAGTACGGTGAGGAAACACTGCGCATTTGCACCAGAGACCAG